ACAACCCACGAAGTATGACGGAAGCCAATAGCTTGGACGCAATCGGAAGTAGACTTATCCCCCGATAGTTGTTACAGGAACGACGTGAACCCTTTTTAAAGATAGGGACAACTATCGACTCATTCCATGACGTTGGTACACTCTCTAGTTCCCAAACCTTTGTAAACAACGTCGTCAATTCCTTAGTCAGAAAGTCACCACCATCTTTAAAAAGAGCCGGAGGTAAGTCATCTGGGCCAGGTGATTTGTAACGCTTCAAGAGTTGGAGTTCCTTGCGGACTTCCTCCTCGTTTGGTGGATCAGTCGTCACCGGCCATGGAGGGCAGGACAGTCTGACCGATGTTGCCGGAGCAGCAGGCCAGTTGAACTGCCCTTCGAAAAGTTCTGCCCATCGTCCAAGACGTCGATGGATGTTAGTGATTGGCATCTCATCATCCTCGTAGATTGTTTCGCTCCTTCACGACTCTCTGGCTGGGGTCCTAGAGGTGGTGCAACACAGTGTTTAGAGACGTTATCAGATATGGCTCAGAATAGAAGCCAGTGGCGATCCTGCTGCAAGCTTCTTTTACTTTCTCCATAAAAAAATGGTTGCTTCTTTCTTAACTGAAGGATTTCCTCTGATTGTACCTTTCCGTTCCCAAATTATTACCACTATTATTATTACACTACCTTACACTAATCTGTCCGTTATTGTTCTTTTCTTTCTCTCCGAATTCTCATTGTTTTGTGTGGCGCGTATATATTTGGTGCCCTCTTGTACCAATATTTATGTGTTCAAATAAATAAATAAAATAGTCCAACCTGTATATATTTTTCCGTGGTCATATTTTGTTTCAAAATTTTGTTTTTAAGGTCTTAAATTCTTTACTGGACTTGTTCTTAGTTTTCATACTCTACGTTTAACTGTTAAATGACTGTTTTGAACGTTAATACACCTAACAAGGTTTCGATAGTTGTGTGTTGCCACTAGCTTCAAACCTACTCACTAACTTGTACCGGATTGCAAGGTTAGAATTCAGAAAAATATAATTTCAAGTTAGGTAGCAGCATTATGTGGAATGAATAGTTAACATAATTGGGATATCTATTTTCTACATTCTAATAAAAGTTGTCTAGTGGTAAATATGTCATGTTGCGATGTTAGAAGGCAGTTGATTAACTATGGAAAACTTGAAGTTAGCATTAAGCAGAGACAAGGTAACTAGACACTAGTCAAATAGAAAACGACATATTGTGTTCATTTTAAAAAAATTTACATAGTAGACTAAAGTACTAAGCAGGTAAGAGATGGTTTGGTCACGTATTGCGTATGCCTGAACACCGATTACCACGACGCTCAATGCTCACTAGTGTTGGGGATGGTTGGAAGAAAGCTAAGGGCGGCCAGGTCAAAACATGACATCAGTCTTTGAATTCACTAACTCCTGGTTTGAGTCATGCTGAGAGATGCAGACTGCTTGGTTGGGGTCCGCGTGACTATCGTAACCAATGGTTGGAGACTCTGGATGACATGGCTCAGAATCGATCACAATGGCATAGGTTTATACAATCTGTCTTCCCTTAAACTGTGAGATTAAAATCGCTTCATATCTTTCTTTCCACTAACTAATTCTTTCTCCCTGTACTATATCCTTATATGCAATCTTTCTTTTATATATTACCACCTCTGCATTAACTACTTTTATGAATCCTGTGTTCATCTGGTTGTGTTAATGAGGTATGGCAACTTGGACCGATGTATATATGTGCCTGGTCCTACGTTGTAGCTGACTGACCTTTAGTTCCTTACTGAAGTTTAGAAAATGTTTGTTGCGATTGTTTATTTTGGTTTTGATACTGCGTTTTAATAAACCGATTTTTCAGCTGTGAAATCTAGTCACAGTAATGTTAAGCTCATTTACCAGCTACAGATGAGTGTATTTGGCTTCGAACCAATTTAAATGTGAGGGCTAATGATACTATCCGGTCACTTAAGTAGAAGCAGGCGAGGGGGCTCTAACAACTGACTCACCACTCAACATATCAGTGTGGCTAATTTATGTGGACATTTGGTTGTCGTTCAGGTGGACACTTACAAACTTCACTTCATCAGACATCGTCAGGGAAACGAGATAATGCGGCACATTCCTTGATATATTGATTGTGTTTTAAAAATATGATAACACAGACGGTGGCGATAGCATTACTAACCCGTTCATCTGATTTGGCGCACAGTCTAGCCTAATTTACATTCTTTTTGTTTGGTATTAGGGGATAATAAGAATATCCGGTTCTGAAATACATCACATAAATAAATTTTTAATTCATATATGTTGGTTTGGATCTTCCGATTGATGTTTGGGACTACAAGTAATCCGTTTCTTTTGACATATATACATCTTTTTCTGATCGCTTCGTTATTGCCAGTAAGTCACTGCTCTGAGATGTAAGTACTTCCAGCTGACGAATCCCGAATAGGACGAAATGCGCGTCCTGCTAGTCGCCATCCATCTGTGCATTATATAACTTTTTGAGAAATTCATTTATCTTAGGTTTCTATTCCTGTTTAGTATTTCATCATGTTTCTTCGAAGTGTTGCTACCAACGCTCCAGAAACCACATTGCTGAGAGTTTGCCTTCCAGTGAGACTGTATTATTATACATTTTAGATTAGTTACTCTAGTAATCGATGGTTGATGGGAATCTCCATTTCTTGTGACCAATTTTAAATTATTATTATTTCACTTACCCATATTTGTAATATTTTTAGTTGTTGTTTAACTCGTTTCTCCCTTGAAAATATTAAGTATGAGATAGCCTAACATCTCTTTTTATTATGCATGACTGCAATCGATATTGACAGGAAGGTAGTTTTATTTTACAAACTTGTATCAGTTAAAAATTTTACGTTTTTTAATGTCGTGTAAAGAAAAATATAAGGAAAATAGTGATTAATAGGAACAACATTCATGTACCCTGATCATTTCTTCTTAACGTGGTAGAGATCTTAACCTAAAAAAACTACCCTACTATCAAAAATAAATTACTTGGTCGAATTTGTGTTAGGATCAGCAGTCATTGATGACTGAAGCTAGTTTATATGATAATACATGTTCACCAACAAGGCTTTAATTAACTTGTTCTGTTCCTCGAGTGATAATTTTATATCATCCATTTTCTGTGAGAAAAATTCGACGACAGCAGAAATGTATCCATCCTAGGATCATGTTTGATCTCCCCGCTGACATCTTCACAATGCCTAGTGCTCTGGATGAACAATATGCATTGCATTCGGTATTTCTTGCTTACTTGGCTCTATAAACCTGACCACGTGAGTATTTTTCCATGCTTTAATCTAAAGACCGATTGAGAACACAGTACAGGTCTAAACCAACGTTTATTATATTATTACAAACACTGAAGCGAAATGTATATCACGGTTCTCATATTTGTCTATCTGCGACCATTAACCAATCACCGTTCACTTTCACTGGGACAACACTACTACTCATCAAAGATTCGATGTTTTAAATTGTATTTTGTATTGACTTGAGAAAATCCTCCAATTTGTCACTTTTTTAATCTTCCTAATCCAATAACCTTGTTCGTTTATTCCCCTTTCCCCCTATCCGTTCCGATCATCACTTTGTCAAGAATGTGACCATTTAAACTGGTAAATAAGTGTATATGTATCAATTCTGTTTTCTTCTTTGTCTTGGCTTATCATGTCAGTAAAATTCAAAACTAATAGTGTTCAAGAAAAGTGATGAAAAGCCTAGGCAGAGATGTTCTGTTTCCATTTTCTTGTTATAATTATTGCCATATATATATTCAACTGATAATATCAGTTAATTATTTTGTCTAATACAATGTTTCTTATCTCTGCTTAAATCAACTCAATTCAAGACCACCCATATGATTATATTATTGCCATTAAACTGTCCTTATTTTCTGCAATATATGAATAGATTTGGTAAAAAAATACTAAAATACGACAAGTATTTTGTGTAGGTTATATTTTTAAATAGATTTTTAAGTGATATGGTAATTTACCTACTTACTTGACTGTATTAATGATCAATAAAAATGTATTTTGAATATAGAGTAGTCGTTGGTTTTAAATTAAAGTTAATGCAACTCATTTGATAAGTATAGAATTATATATTCATCTTTGAGCCATTTTGTTTATATGTTAGTTAGCGATCCCAACTAGCTGTCTAAACTGAACTTACGAAAAATAAAGTTCTAACCTACGATCTAACTTCCTAAAGTCAAATCCTTTTTACTACATATGTAATTGATAACTAAATATTGACTTATATCAACAATTTCTTCTCATCATCTAACTGTCTACTCCCTTACATATCACCTTTTTCTTCATTAGTCTTTAGTTACTGGTATTAGTTTGGCTGTAAAAAGTCGCGTTCACAACGCGTCAGGGAGAACAGTTTTGTTCATTGGTCCTGAAGCATGGATCACTGATCTGAGGATGCTCAGAGACGCTCATCTATGATCCTGCATGCCGGATGCGCACTGCCGAGGAGTCCTATACTAGGACGAAACGGCCGCTCAGTGCTTCCAGGTTTTCATTGATCTAACATTGATCGGTTGGTGACCTCAATCAAAACTCAACAATCTCCACAACTTTATACCGATATAATTAGATACTATGAAATTCGATTAAAGTGTAACTATTATAAATTTTACCAAATCATCTAGACTATACCTTTTCCTCCTGTAAAATTTAATTGTGTTAATAGCTTAGTAGTTAGATTGTTATAGGAATGTTACAGTATCCATTGTTTACTAATCTTATGATATAATATGATGACTAGCTTGTTGTTTGAAATGATATTCGATGCTGATATCCGTATTATAGCCTTATTAATGTCTTCAAATAACGCTTAGTATTAAAAAAACGAGATATTTAATAAGTTTAATTGTTGAAATTTTGTTTTCTTTTTGGATATCATTCACATTTAAAGTTTCGGGTGTTTCTTCTTTGTCTTCCCTGTCTTCAGGAATTCACTAAACTAGACGAATCACAAAATCCTGGAATGACCCCCACTATTGAACAAACCTATAAACGAGCACGTCGATGTGGTATGCCAAAACTTAAACGAACAAAAGCATTTCTCAAGCAGACACTCGTAAGTAATTGTTTCTTGAAAAAAATACTCGGCTCTCTTCATGAAATTTTGTCTATTTAATGAACCTTCAATATTTTCTCCTAAATTTATCTGCCTTATAGTCAGTATATTCATCTCCGTTGTATTAAAAAATGTCTGTTTTCATCATTGAGTTAAGTGGGAAGAAACTGTAAAACAATATTGATTCATTCGACATCACATACAATCAAGATAGTATTTCAGATACAATTGGATCATGATGTTTTCCATCCATTTTTTAAGAGTATTAGAGCTCCTATAGATTTTCTGAACAGCCACTGAATTGTTCCCTTTTTTTTAAAGTGAAAATTTTCGGTTGGTTGACATATGCTGGTTAAATACACCATAGAAGTTCATTGAAATCACGAATTGACTTAAATTAAACCACCATTGAAAACCTGGAAGAACTGGACGGCTGTTTCGACCCAGTATGGGACTGATCGGCAGTGCATATCCACGATCCCTCACGTGGGGACCGAACCCAGGATGATCAGTCGCACGCGTGAACGCGTAATCTCTAGACGGCATCCAACTGTGTTAATTTCTAACTTTAATCAATCCACGACATTGTGCGACCATCTTCTATTGTCTTCAGTAGCAAACTGCCTTGCATTCGATATGGATTAACTCCACTCTTCACGATCTCTCACTAGAACCCCAGAATTACCTCTTGAAGACACTCACTAGTGAGCACATGGTGGTCTAACTTAGGTTGATGATTTAAAAGAAATTCAACAATCTTCACAACCCTATGATGACGCCATTGATGGTCATTTTTTCCTGTAGTACCTGATTTGAAAAATTGATTAGTGTTGATGATCATGTCAATCACGGTGTAATCATAGAACCAGAAAAAAGTGTTTGTGGTTCGTCATACCACTACTGTGAATGGTTGGTGTTTTGTATTATTAGCTCTATACTTTTCAAACTTTGTTGAGCAACCTGTATATGAGTTGCACTGGATTTTATAGGTAATTTTCTCTAACCTTCCCTTTCTCATCTGTGGGGAGGTAGCATCACTGAAGATGCTAGTTATTCTTTTGCATTACAGATATCCGACAGCCACAGAGCCTTTTCATGGAAGACTATTCCTGTTGCTTACTTAAAGACTCAAGTTTATGCGTTAAATTTTTTTGGTGACTTTAGGTGACGTTTTACGTTCAGTGGTTGATTTACAGTTTTTTTGAAGATAAAAGATACTATTTTAGTGGACTTGTGTGTATATCTAGGGAGTTATTACATAAAGTTAGTACAAGTAAAAATCTATACGAATTTCACAAAACCACTTTTTGTTTGAACAGTGTCACATCAGTCGCTCCAAGATGTCACACCAGGAAGATATTACCTCAATTAGAGTATAATTTATAAGGATAATATTTTTGTCAGAAAATTTCAGTTTGATCTATCAACTAGGAAGATTTCATAGACTTTTCCCCATGTATTTATATCATCATATCATCATCACTACATAAATTAATGGCATAATTAGGTTTTAGTTGCACACCATGGAATTTCAGTAGACTACCGTTGAAAATTAGGAAGCACTAGTAAGCTGTTTCGTCTTAGGTAGATATCTACGGCACTGGTACTTGTCGAACCCCTGGGCTTCGCGACGAACACATCCTTCAGACCACTACGTCGGGATCTGATGGCGGTGTGGAAACACAAATTTAACTATTTCCAAAACCCCCTCCATACTAACATGCTTATCGTTAAATTACTTTGTCCAACGAATTTATTCTTTCTTGAATCCTGCTATCTATGCGTAATCACTTATACTATTACTGATACTGTTTGTCTACTTCTATCACTCCCTCATTTGTCTTGATAATTTCATCTCACTGTGCTATTTGAACTGACTCATATGTGTGCCATTACACATGACTTACTGAATTCCACCAAGCTCTGATTATAAATAATTTAAAACAGTCAACGTTTAACTATTTCGAGGAAAGTATGATATTGTTCTTGTCATCAGTTTTAACAATTAGATAATGTTATTAGTCTTTCTATAATGATAATTGTTACAATGATATAAAAAAAAGAAAGAATTATAGTTAGATAAACTAAAAAAAAACTGACCGTGTATGATGTCATATTTTTCTATTGTTAGAAACAATGTGTACGTGTAGTTTGTGTGAATTCCAATAAACATAGTATAAATGACATAATATAAATTATCTCTTAAATCAAGTTGTTCATACAGTTGATCATATTTCACATTATATTTTATTTGTTCAATAGGATTTATGTATTCAATATTATTCGCTAATGATTATTTTCTTTTCTAAATTTAAAATATTCAACATATTTTTCTTTGTTTAAACGTGTTAACATTTAACATGTTGACATTTTGGCATGTTGGCTGTTTTCACCTTAAACACAAAATGAATTATCATAATCAAATAGATGAAACAATATCAAGTTATGTGTTATTAAAATTAATAGCAATTGAAGACGGTATATATTTTTCATGGTAGTAGTTTTTTTTTAAAATTAGTTTGGGATTGGGTGGGGTTGGTTGATTGATTTTTAAATTTTTATTTGGCATAGTGTATGACTCAAAATTTCGATAGCTAGCTATTAGACAGTAAAGTTACAGTATTGAGAGTGGTGTTTTATTTTTTTCTTCGTTGTCACCCAACCTCCTGGATCGTCTTTCTCCCCTTTACTTTTATGATCATCTCCTGTGTGAAGCTTCTCTCTCTCTCTCTCTCTCTCTCTCTATATATATATATATATATATATATATATATATATATACACGTGCATACGTGGACACAATCCATTTTCCTATTGGTTAATATGTGAAACATGAAGGCAGCAGACAAGGATTTTGTTTTCTATCAGTTTGATTTTGCTTACTGCTACTATATTGGGAAAAGATAATTGGGATAACAATAATAGTAATAATGATGATAATGCTATCCGTTTAATCCACCTCCACTGATATTTGTCGATTATTTATCACAACTTTCAGATTACTTGATGTGTAGCTACCCATAGAACATTTATTAGTAGATGATAATGAGGGTAATTATGTTACATATTACTTATTGACCTAACGGTAACTGATATTAGTTTTTAAAATGAGATTTATCTAAATTATTCATTTGTTTGGTTAGTTGGTTGTAATTTTGTATGATACTCACAGTTACTAAATCATAAGTTACAGTGTGATTGGAACCATTAAAAACTTCCTAGATTACTCGATAGTAGTGGTGGTGTATGTTACTTATGTCAACAGATATAAGTAGTAAGCAACACCGATCGAAAATGGAAAACCTAGCAGCAGAAGGCTAAGAAGATCGAGTTGAAGAAAACAGGTAGGGATTGTGAGTTGAAAGAATCATACGGATTGTGAAGGACAAATGATGGATATTTACAAATGAAGTATTCAATGTATGGTTCTCGTGTTTTACCAAGATATTCTGTAATTTTTTATTAAAAAATTAATTTGTTGTCCCCGCTTGAGTATTCGTTCGTTACAGTAGTAATAATAGTAAGTTTTATCTACCTGCAAAAGTGGAGCTGTTAGGCACGTGTTGGACTTTTATTTTAATTACTTATTGCAAAAAATAGAACGTACTCAGCTTTCAATTACATTAAACTGTTGATTCATATAGCCGATCCTGTTTGAGAAGTTAGATAGTATTCATAGTTCTAAATGTCGAAAAATAATTGGTTAGTAATTATTGACTAGTTGTTTTGGAGGAAAAAGAAGATATATATGTTTGTTTGTTTATTGTTGTGCTGTGTGTAATTGATAATAATTTATTTGGTGGCCGATTAATCGAACAACAACAGGTCTTGAATTACGGCTGAATTTGACCAGAGAGTTTTGATATGGTATGCTGGTAGACTATCATCTATCAAGTTATTTCGTTACTATATTGTAATCAAGGTTATGTTGTGGTGATTTGGTCATTAATCTATTTATTACTTCTTTCTTTTCTCTCTATCCCTCATTCCGTGTTTTTAATAAAACGAAGATAGTATATCATCTTTCTATAGGGAAAACCTTTAGTTTTGAAGATTAAATTAGTTAAAAGTTGTATACTTCGTGTAATTTATGCATAGAAAATATTGTTCGCATATTGTGGAATAATTGAGTGAATAGTGTTGAGGTTAAGCATAAGGTATTAGGTAAAGATAGTTAATCGGTTGATAAGGTTGTGAATTTTTGTTGACTAAAATGGTTGGCGCATGCATTACACATGACCAACCAACCCCCACCTCGATGTATGGTGTTATCTGAAGTAGAAGTAGGTTGACAGAAAGCCGGGTGTGACCAAACTAATTCATCAAATTAATTCATCAAGTGTTGAACTAAATCACATTAGTAGGTGCAAGTTATCTGGTTGGCGTTTGGATAATTATCATGACCAGCGGTTGGGAGACGTTGGGTAACATTGCTCATAATTCGTCAAAGCGGTACAAATGCTTCTAATCTTTACGTTGTTCTAGGTCTCGAGTTCCAGTGTTTATTCATACTACACCTGTTGGTTATTTTTTCAAACCATATTCTGAATATTCTCCAATGAGTCTTGTCTAATTTAAATTGAGTTTCTTACATAGATCATGTTTAGAGCTAAACTAATTGTTTGATGACTCCCCAGTAGTCCGATTTTATAAACCCTTTTTTTAAAACTCTCTTTCTTGCGCTTAATCTTCTCGATATAACATTTGCCTATTTATTATCATCTATCTGTTTGTCAATTCTCTGTTTCAACTTTTCTTTGATTAAAAAGGATCGCAATTGTGTATGTTTTGTTGTTTCTTTATTGATTATTTTTTGGATACTTGACAATTTCCAGTTTGTTTGGACAGTCATAATTTATGCTAAAGAAGTAGGATGTTTTATGTAGTTAGTGTATGTATACACATGTTTAATTCTTGCACATTGTCTGTCCCAACGTTTATTTTTATATATTTTACATATGTTAAAATCAATCTGCCAGGTCATTTCGGTTATCAATACT